TTTGGTGGCTTTGTAAAGTTTTTTTTTTTTTTTTATATGAACTACTTGAGAGGGAGAAATATTCAAAAAACTTTACAAACTTACTGGATATTTGAGTGGAGGGAGGGAATAGTACTATACTTGATAAATGTAGATAATCTCTGCTTTAGGGCTGAATACAGTGCAGGCCGGAGAGACCAGCTGCCTCATGGGATGTGAAAATCTACTTTTATATAGTAGGGTAAGTTTATTGTCATTATTAGAAATTGAATAGTCATTTTGGTTCTGTGTTACCTTTCGGGGTGCTCTAAGCAACTTAAGATAATTTGCTGTATCAAAACTTTCTAGTTCTTGGATTCCTTAGAAGTGATTTTACCTCAGATTCAGCTTTCCTCCTCGTGATTTAAAAGTAAATGTTAAGCTTGAACTCATGGAAATTTAAACATGGCAGTTGTACTGTTTGCTTTTAGTTAACTGGTATTATATATTAGGATCAGATGTCTCGGGTAACACTTAGTTTTGATTTGATTTCCTTTTTCTTTTAGGAGAAATTGATACAAGATTCTCTTTTTGTGCGGTGGCAACCTTGGCCCTGTTGGTAAGTTTTGAATATTGTATTGGAATAATTAAGTGCCCGTGATTATTCTGGAATTCAATAGGCTTATTTTTTTCTGTTTGTAGGGGAAGCTAGATGCTATTAATGTGGAAAAGGCAATTGAATTTGTTTTATCGTGTATGAACTTTGATGGTGGATTTGGTTGCAGGCCAGGTTCTGAATCCCATGCTGGGCAGGTAATTTATTAATGCAGATTAAAATATGTCAGTTTTGAAGGGATAAGTGATAAACTGGGAAAATAGAGTAATTGCAGTTTCAGTGTCTGTTATGTATGACTGAAGTTAATTTAAATGTAATGTGGGATCTTACATAGGAATTGCTTAAATACAGATAAAGAAAGGCATTTTTACAGTAGTTTTATATACATTCCCTGTTGGTGGAACCCCCTGGCCTGGGCAAACATAAGTAGGTTCGTTATCATGAAAGATACATTTTTATTTTTCCCTTATTCCTATCCTGAACACCTATTTCCTTGTGCCAGAGAGGCAAATTGTATTTTTAAATAGTATTTAGTATTTACATTGTATCTGTCAATAGTTGTCCAATAAAATTTGCTTTTAGAGCCACCTGGCTGGCTCTGTTGGTAGAGCATAAGATTCTTGATCTTGGGGGAGCCTGGGTGGCTCAGTGGTTAAGCATCTGCCTTCGGCTCAGGTCATGATCCCAGGGTCCTGGGATTGAGTTCTACATCGGGCTCCCTGCTTGGCAGCAGGCCTGCTTCTCCCTCTCCCACTCCCCCTGCTTGTGTTCCTGCTCTCGCTATCTCTCTCTGTCAAATAAATAAATAAAATCTTTAAAAAAGAAAAAAAGATTCTTGATCTTGGGGTTGTAAGTTTGAACCCCATGTTGGGTATTCTAAAAATAAAATCTTGTAAAAAAAATTTTTGCTTTTAGCCATGAGGAAATGTTGACAGTATTTCATTGCAGAATTGTATCCTAGAATTAGTATGTTTGGATTTGTTCAGATGGCTATGTGATACTTATGTGTTTGCAATTCTGACTTGTCAATAGAAAATTAGTTTTTAGACATAAAATGGCATTTTGAGTAGTTTTTATCACTACATTACTGTTGAAAAATTATTATACACATGTACTTTATGTCTGTAATTTTAGATCTATTGTTGCACAGGATTTCTGGCTATTACTAGCCAGTTGCATCAAGTAAATTCTGATTTACTCGGTTGGTGGCTTTGTGAACGACAGTTACCATCAGGTGGACTCAATGGAAGGCCAGAGAAGGTATTGTTTCATAAGATATACTGTGTTCTAATAGCTTTATAGCCACTATAGCTTCTTGTAAATTGATAATGTGCTTTTACCCCTCCCCGCATTGCAATTTTTCAGTTGTACTTCCTAAAAAATGCTCTTGGCAAAAGTAAAACAACTGGAGTGGAGCTACTTATTAGTTATGGTATCCATTTGAAAGACTCTTGAGGAAAAGATGTGTATGCTACCTTCTGATGATCTTTTTATGACAAAGCTGTCTTCTGGTTTTCCCTATCCTGAAGTGGATTCTGGAGTTATCTGAAGGAAAACAAAAAAATGTCAGATTGCTTTGAAATATATTTGTATTCAGATACAGTATGTATTCTTAAAGTGTCTTTTTCCCTATCCTGAAGGTCTTGTATTTTTCAGGCATTGAAATGAAGCTGTTTCTTTAAACTTTTAATTCTAGATCTATACCAGAGAAAATCAGTCCTGTATTAAAAGCTTTCTTTATATCTGGGACCCAAAGAGTACTGTTAAATGAATACATGTATCTTGTACAGAAATCTCCATGTCTACTTATGGGTGTGAAAGGACAATTTACCAAATCAGTGATTTTTAAAAATTATGTTACAAAATTTTTATTTAAAAACCTTACTAAATTTTTTAAGAAAGACCCAGTTTTTGACATTTTGATTTGGAGAAAAGGGAATCAAATTTTCCTTTGCACGTCCACAGTTCGCTTTAGCTCTCATACATTAAATTGGGTCTGTAAGGGCCAGGTAGTAAATGTTTTCAGTTCTGTAGGATATACAGTCTTGTTGGCAAGTACATTACTACCCTAAAGAGCAGATGGTGCCATAGACCATAAGAAACCAGTGGGCATGGCTGTGTTTCAGTAAAGTAACAGTGGTTACATTTGAATTTCATATCATTTTCCTATCACAAGACTGTATTTTGTTTTCCTGTTTTTTTTGGGGGGGGGGGGTGGTTTTTTTATTTTTAGACTGCGTATTTTAAAAAACGATTTACAGGGCGCCTGGGTGGCTCAATCGTTAAGCGTCTGCCTTCGGCTCGGGTCATGATCCGCGCATGGGGCTCCCTGCTCCGTGGGAGGCCTGCTTCTCCCTCTCCCATTCCCCCTGCTGTGTTCCCTCTTGCTGTGTCCCTCTCTGTCAAATAAGTAAATAAAATCTTTAAAAAAAAATAAAAACGATTCACACATATAAAAAAATTCTTTGGTTGTAGTCTAGGTTTGACTCAAGGGCTGTAGCTTGCTGGATCCCTGACAGTATTGTGATAGGGCATGGTGGTTCCTTTGTCTGGATCATTGTATTTTTGTTTTAGCTTTGCTTGCTCAATATTTATGAACAAGTTGGGTTGGGAAATACCCACAGGTGGTTTCTAGCTAGTTACAATCCAATGAAAAACCTGCGCAACTTTCAACAGTTAGAAAATGGGTCAGGGTTGGGATTGCCAGGAATCTGCACTTAACAGTATAGGACAGTATTTTATGTGCCTATGAATCACCCGATTTTGTAGAAATGATTCTGGCATCGAGGTGAGATATTCTGCATTCTTTAAACCCAAGTGACCCATGTTTTGAGGAGCCAGGCTTTAGGTTTTTAAGTAAGTATATGTCTACCTGGACAGCATTTGTTGAAAATGCTCTACCTAGGGAAATAGAACATATCACCATGGATTTCATGAGCGTTAACCACCAGCTTCTTGGATAAGGGGCATTCACTGCGGATAAAATAAAGGTACAGGGATAGTTGTCACTGCGTACCTAAACTCTGAAACATTTAGCATAGGTGTCTGGATTGAAATGTTTGGTCTTTATGCCAGTGATGATCTTTAATTCTAAGTAATTGTATTTATGGATTTTAGCATCTCTAACTGCATGTCAGTATATCCCTTAATCCCCACCACCCCATGTTTGGACTAGAGGATAAAATTGTGGCAACTGCTTGTGGTTTTTTCCCTCCTAGTTACCAGATGTATGCTATTCATGGTGGGTGTTGGCTTCCCTAAAGATAATTGGAAGGCTTCATTGGATTGATAGAGAGAAACTTCGAAGTTTCATTTTAGCATGTCAAGATGAAGAAACAGGAGGATTTGCAGACCGACCAGGAGATATGGCAAGTATATTTCTGACATGTCCATGCAATAGTTACATTGCTTTGAGTTACTTTTACTGCATTTCCAGACTTAGAAATGGATGATATTTAAAGTGTTGCTTTTAAAGCAGGATACTTTTCTGGTAATTTTTATTTGAGAATATATGAAGGATATAAAACAAGTTTACAGAAATTTCTCATCACTTGTCAAAAAAATACTGTATGGTAAAAGGTCTTATATTTAAAAAAAAAAAACACAATTTGAAGCCATCATTTTTCTTTTAGAAAACTAAGCATTTATTCAAGTAAAGAAAATACAATGGAACCCAATATAACTTGTTCAGAAGTAGGGTTTTAGAAGTTTTCATTTTTGTAATACTCTATAAATTCTTATTTTTTAAATAGGTAGATCCTTTTCATACTTTATTTGGAATTGCTGGATTGTCGCTTTTGGGAGAAGAACAGATTAAACCTGTTAGTCCTGTTTTTTGCATGCCTGAAGAAGTACTTCGGAGAGTTAATGTTCAGCCTGAACTAGTGGGCTAGACATTGATGGAGACATGAGACATTGCTTAGTATAGTTGTGCCATCTTAGCATTTCTGTAATGTGCCGAGCAAACTTAAAAATGACCACTGTGTTACTATTTTATATATGAATTGTATTAATTTTAATAAATTATGTAATTATACATAATGTAAAATAAAAATCTTTATCTTCAGCTTTAGATTTCCTTCTGCAATGCTGTTATTCTGAGTACAGTATTTTGTTTCTGCTTCATTGTATTTATTTGTATGTTTCCTTAAAAGCAAACTTAAAGAACTATTGAATTAAAGAAGTCTTGTGTTCTACTTGTTTTTCCTATCTGCTTCTTTCATATTATATAATGACTAATGTAAATTCATCTATATCAGTGAGAATGTTAACTGATAATTGATAAACCCATCCATATATGAATTAAAAGATGCACCCAAATAAATGGCTCTTGAAATTTGGGACTGTTTCATAAGTTTATGGTTACTCTGAATTGATCGCAGTAATTTAGATAAATGGCGCATTTCCATCTTAGAATAGGACTGCATTCTGGACTACGTTCTTATTTTTTAAACATTTTTATGTTCGAATGCCAGCGGTGTACCTAAGGAATTGTTGGCCTTTAAGGAAATAGAAGTTGATAGTTTCCACAATGTTTTTGAAAATGTTTTTCAAAAGACAAAAATGAGCACAAGTATTCTGAGATTTTTACATTCTTGATGAAAGTATTTCAGTGAACATTTCTCTTGAAATGGAAGTTGAAATTTTCTCAAGCATTTTGGCAATACTCTAGTAGTTGTTTTAAGAATGATTAGTGGGGCTCTTCGCTGGCTCAGTTGGTAGAGCATGCCACTCTTGACTTAGGTTGGTCAGTTCAAGCCCCATAGTTGGGGTAGAGTTTTCTCAAGAATGAATAGTGGTGGTTCACTTATACATCATTCACCAATGTCAATTGTAACATCTAGATGAAAAAGTGCTTACATGAGATTCTTGAAATGTTTACCATTATTTTGACAGTTCACTAAAGAGTTTGGGCTGAATTGCCACTATTTTTCTGGAAGTTTGGAACTGGGTGGAATATAATCTTATGTAAATTTTATCACTGGAAGTATTTGAAGGAATTTTGAGGATTCCAGTCATTGCATCTGGGTGAACTATGCTGTTAAGACACCTGACTTAAGAGGTAATTTAGCAGTTGTATGAATTCAGTTTTTTGTTTTATTGAAGTATGGTTGACAGTGTTGCGTTAGTTTCAGGTGTACAACATAGTGATTCCACAAGTCTGTTATGTTCAGTAATGTTTGAATATCTTCCAATAGCAGTATCCAAAGTATTTTTTTTTTTAATTATTTATTTTATAGAGACCTAGCCAGAGAGGGAACACATGCAGGGGGAGTGGGGGAGGAGAAGCAGGCTTCTCGAGCAGGGAGCCCGATGTGGGGTTTGATCCCAGAACCCTGGGATCATGACCTGAGCGGAAGGCAGACGCTTAAGACCCTTAACGACTGAGCCACCCAGGCATCCCAAAGTATTTTCTCAATCCTAGTGTCTCTGAAGTTGGTACTATTTCTATATTCAAGAAAATATGCACAGAACAATTTCATGGAGATCATTTGTTGCAAAGCTAGAGCTTGGATTTGTATAGTCTGTTCTTAACTAATTTGTACCTACAGGGGCGTTTAGGTGGCTCAGTCGTTAAGCGTCTTCCTTCAGCTGGGATCGAGCCTGGGATCCGGCTCCTTGCTTGGCGGGAAGTCTGCTCCCTCTCCCACTCCCCCTGCTTGTGTTCCCTCTGTCGCTGTGTCTCTCTCTGTCAAAAAAATCTTTAAAAAAACTGATTTGTACCTACAGTACAATAAATTGGGAACTGTCCAAGAGCGATCTCATCCATTTTTTTTTTTTTTTTAAGATTTTATTTATTTGGCAGAGACACAGCGACCGAGGGAACACAAGCAGGGGGAGTGAGAGAGGGAGAAGCAGGCTTCCCGCAGAGGAGGGAGCCTGATGCGGGGCTAGATCCCAGGACCCTGGGATCGTGACCTGAGCTGAGGGCAGATGCTTAACGACTGAGCCACCCACGTGCCCCGATCTCATCCATCTTGACCTGGATCTTAGGGTACTGTGCATGCAGTCATGTGCTTATTGGGTGAATATTGTGATAATTACAACAGCCTTGTGGATATTTAAGCTGTAGGGGGTCAATGGCTCCTTTCTCTGTTTCTCCATAAGAGCAGGTAGGTGGGCTGAACACATTTGTTCACACCATCATAGGCGTTCGGTGTCTAGTGGTGGACAGTTCGTAAATTTAAAAAGCTCAGTGTATGTGGGGGTGTGGTTCAAAAGCACCAAACACCTTTAGTAAAATACAGTGCTGTGAGAATAGTGGGGCTACCAAATTGGATGGTCATGGATAGGCTCTGAAGAATTCCGTTCAGCTGATCCCTGCAGATTGAAGAGAGCTGTACCTCAGATTAAGCTCAAAGCCAAATCCAGTGGCGGGTGAAGGGACTGGTCACCGGTGGAAGTAGGGCTCCAGGCGTGGATGGGGGAAGCTGGGGCTCACTACGCCTGCGCGCTGGGGCTCACTACGCCTGCGCACTGGGGCTCAGTGCGTCTGCGCGCCGTGCTCGGGCCTTTTTCCGCGACGCTTCTGTACTTCAGGTCGGTGAAGGCGCGCTCAGCAATCTCAGATTTCTGCCTGGGAAGATTTGTGAGGATGCTGAGGCCTGAGGTCTTACCAGTCTCGCCTTCCGTCCCTGCGGCTTCCCCCTCATTGGGAGAGGCTCGGTCTCAGGGTCCTCGCTATAATTTCGGACTCCAGGAGACTCCCGAGAGCCGCCCTTCAGCGCAGGCCTCTGCGTCCACGCCTTCTGGCACATCTGGAGCCGCCGGCGACCGGAGCAGCAGCACGAGTCTCCCTCGCCACCCGCCTCGCGCCGGTCCAGCCCAAGGCAAGGAGTGGGTGGGTGGATTCCGCGGTCAGCTAGAGGTCCGCAGCTCCCGGCGGTTTCGGGGAGTGGTGGCGGGTGGTTACCTCGGAGAAGTTTGAGTTGTGATGGGGCTGAGAGGGTGAGAATGGGGTGCTCTAGGAATTTGATGGGTCTGAGTGAGTCAGAGACTGGACTCTTCAAATGGTACGAGGCCGCGATGATAATGGCCCAGTTCTGAGGAAGGCTGCAGTAACATCCGGTGTAATGCCCTCCCTTTTCTGCCCTCCCAAAAGCGTATGGCAAATGGCAGAATTTGTGCAGCAGTTTGGTGATAGGAGTGGCTCCTCTTGGCTCCTGAACTAAGATGGGATGGAAATAGATTAAATTTAGCATTTCATCTAATTCAGTTGAATAATATGTTTAAGTATTTAAAAATGTATGTCTTTCAATTTGAGTTCAACCCTTTTATATTTGGACAACTCTCCCTTCATGGAAAAACTATCACTTTTTTCACACACCATTGCAGCATAATGGTAAGGTAACAAATGCCAAATCCAGTGGTCACTTTTCAGTTCCCCTGTGTTTAATGTTCTTGACTAGTCTTCTCTTGAACTCTTAATTTGGTTTCCCTAATTCTGCTCTCCCGTTTTTCTCCTGTCTTTCAGAGAACTGCTTTGCTCACCGTTATCAGTTCCCAAATTATGGTTTGTTCTTAAGAGTTTTGGGGTGTTTTTTTTTCTAGGCCGCTTCTTGGTTATGATTATCACTGCTCAGGTCTCCCCTATGCTCCAGATTCCTATTACAGACTGTCTTCTGAAGTTTCTAGTGGGAGACCAATGGACACCTCAGACTCACTATATTATTAATTGAATTCATCTCTCTACAGTTCCTTGAGCTGTTTCTTTTACTTAACTCAATCACTGGATTGTCTAAATCTTAAACCCGTAAGACTTCAGTAGTTTCCTCACAACATCCAAACAGTTAGTAAGTCCTATGTTTATCTTTTAAATAGTTCTTTTCTGCTCTTTGTGCCATTATAGGCTCTCATTATTTTATGTGTGAATTATTGCATCAAACTCTGGCTTTTGTGACTGGATAAATGGTAGTACTATTTCCTGATAAAGTGGGTTTTGTAGGAGAAGCAACCTTTAGAAGGAAAATGTGTTCTGTATGGACATGTTAAATGTGAAGAACCTCTAGGATATCCATATGGTCACACTGAGGCAATTGAATATATGGATCTTGGATTAAGAAGAGAAACTTAGGAGAGATTCAGATTTGAAAGTTACCAGTATATTTGAGGCCAGAGGGGAGAAGATAAAGAAGAAACAGCAAAATAGATGTCAAGGAAATTGGACGGCAACTAAGATAAGTGAATAAGTTTCCAGAAGGAGCTTAGAGTCTAAAAGTAACCTGAGGACAAGAAACAGGCCTCTCTGTCTCTATTCCTGGTAACCACTCCCTTCCTTAGTTCCTTTAAGTCTATGTAGTACAGCACATGGGTTCTATACACTTCTGTACGATGATATCCTTATGCTGCATTCACACTTTTGCAAAAATTTCCTTATCAAACTTCTCAAAGTATCCTAGTTTGAATGTGTCATCCAATTCCTACCGGTACCTGTGTAAAGAAGTCTGATTTTATCCTATGGTGGGTATGGGGACACACTGAGGAATTGTGAGAAAGGAGATAAATGGTGAAATTTCTTTGTCAGAAAGATCACTGGTGATGTTGTGAAGAATGGATTAGAGAGGCATAATACTAGAAGCAAGGAGAACAATTAAGAGACTTGCAGAAGGCCTGAAGAAGATATGGGCTTAAAATGAGCTAATAGGAGTAAAGACGGACAGAAATTTTAGTGGTATTAAAAAATTTTTTTTTACTAGACTTAAATGATTGGGTGTTAGGATTGATGAAAGGGGAATTACGAATGATTCCTGAGTTTATGACTCAAGTGACAAGGTACAAGATGTTATAGTTGGCCAAAACTGGTTATAAATAAGTTTTGAGGGAAAGATAATGAGTATATTTGTGAACATTTAAAAGTTCTGGAAAGATATCTAAAAGTTTACATCTCAAAGGTAGATTTAGGGACATAGAGCCACACTGATAGAACTTTCTGTGATGATAGAAATATTTCATATCTGTGCTGTCTAAAATGGTAGCCAATAGCCAAATGTGGCTTTTGAGCATTTAAAATGTGCCTTGTATGGCGAACAGAATTTTTAATTTTAGTTAATTTTTATTTAAATTGTCAAATGCAGTCAGTAGCTACTATATTGAACAATGCAGGTATAGACCTAAGAATGGTTCTTGCATTTTTAAAGGGTTGAAAAGTAAAAGAAGAAGAGTATTTTGTGACATGTGAAAATTATGTGAAATTCAGGTTTCAGTGTCTGGAAGTAAAGTCGTTTTTTTTTTTTTTTTTTTAATTTAACTTAATATTATTATGTTATGTTAGTCACCGTACAGTTTTTGATGTAGTGTTCCATGATTCATTGTTTGCGTATAACATCCAGAGCTCCATGCAATACATGCCCTCCTTAATACCCACCACTGGGCTAACCCAGCTATTCCTTATGTTCCACAAATAAGTGAAACCATATGATAATTGACTTTCTCTGCTCGACTTATTTCACTTAGCATAATCTCCTCCAGTCCCATCCATGTTGATGTAAAAGTTGGGTAATCATCCTTTCTGATGGCTGAGTAATATTCCATTGTAAATATGGACCACATCTTCTTTATCCATTCATCTGTTGAAGGGCATCTCGGCTCTTTCCACAGTTTGGCTATTGCAGATATTGCTGCTATGAACGTTGGGGTGCGTATGGCCCTTCTTTTCACTACATCTGTGTCTTTGGGGGTAAATAACCCAGTAGTGCAATTGCTCAATCGTAGGGTAGCTCTATTTTTAATTTTTTGAGGAACCTCCACACTGTTTTCCAAAGTGGCTGTACCAACTTGCATTCCCACCAACAGTGTAAGAGGGTTCCTCTTTTTCCACAACCTCTCCAATATTCGTTGTTTCTTGCCTTGTCAATTTTTGCCATTCTAACTGGTGTAAGGTGGTATCTCCATGTGGTTTTGATTTGAATTTCCCTGATGGCTAATGATGATGAACATTTTTTCATGTGTCTGTTAGTCATTTCTATGTCTACTTTTGAAAAGGGTCTGTTCATGTCTTCTGCCCATTTTTTGACTTGATTATTTGTTTTTGGGGTGTTGAGTTTGAGAAGTTCTTTGTATCTTGGATATCAGCCCTTTGTCTATAGTGTCATTTGCAAATATCTTCTCCCATTCTGTGGGTTGCCTCTTTATTTTGTTGATTGTTTCCTTTGCTGTGCAGAAGCTTTTTATCTTGATGAAGTCCCAAAAGTTCATTTTTGCTTTTGTTTCACTTGCCTTTGGGGATGTATCTTGAAAGAAGTTGCAGTGTCTGATGTCGAAGAGGTTACTGCCTATGTTCTCCTCTAGGATTTTGATGGATTCCTGTCTCATATTGAGATCTTTCATCCATTTTGAGTTTATCTTTGTGTATGGTGTTAGAGAATGGTCGAGTTTCATTCTTTTGTATATAACTGTCCAATTTTCCCAGCACCATTTATTGAAGAGACTGTCTTTTTTCCATTGCATATTTTTTCCTCCTTGTCGAAGATTATTTGACCATAAAGTTGAGGGTCCATATCTGGGCTCTCTGTTCTGTTCCATTGGTCTATATGTCCGTTTTTGTGCCAATACCATGCTGTCTTGGTGATCACGGCTTTGTAACATAGCTTGAAATCAGGCAGCGTGATGCCCCCAGCTTTGTTTTTCTTTTTCAACATTTCCTTAGCAATTTGGGGTCTTTTCTGATTCCATACAAATTTTAGGATTGTTTGTTCTAGCACTTTGAAAAATGTCATTGGAATTTTGATTGGCATGGCGTTGAAGGTATAGATTGCTCTGGGTAGCATAGACATTTTAACAATGTTTATTCTTCTGATCCATGAGCATGGAATATTTTTCCATCTTTTTGTGTCTTCTTCAATTTCTTTCATGAGTGGTCTGTAGTTCCTAGAGTATAGATCCTTTACCTCTTTGGTTAGGTTTATTCCGAGGTATCTTATGGTTTTTGGTGCTATTATAAATGGAATAGATTCTCTAATTTCTCTTTCTCCAGTTGCATTGTTATTGTATAAGAAAGCAACTGATTTCTGTGCATTGATTTTGTATCTTGCCACATTACTGAATTGCTGTATGAGTTCTAGTAATTTGGGGGTGGAGTCTTGGATTTTCCATATAAAGTATCATGTCATCTGCAAAGAGAGAGAGTTTGACTTCTTTGCCAATTTGAATACCTTTTATTTCTTTTTGTTGTCTGATTGCTGTTGCTAGGACTTCTAGTACTGTGTTGAACAATAGTGGCGAGAGTGGGCATCCTTGTTGTGTTCCTCATCTTAAGGGAAAGGCTCTCAACTTTTCCCCATTGAGGATGATATTCGCTGTGGGTTTTTCATAGATGGATTTTATGAACTTGAGGAATGTTCCCTCTATCCCTGTACTCTGAAGAGTTTTAATCAGGAAAGGATGCTGTATTTTGTCAAATGCCTTTTCTGCATCAATTGAGAGGACCATATGGTTCTTCTCTCTCCTCTTATTAATGTGTTTTGTCACATTGATTGATTTGCGAATGTTGAACCACCCTTGGATCCCGAGGATCAATCCCACTTGGTTGTGGTGGGTGATCCTTTTAACGTGCTGTTGGATCCTATTAGCTGGGATTTTGTTGAGGATTTTGGAATCCATATTCATCAGGGATATCGGTCTGAAATTCTCCTTTTTGATGAGGTCTTTGCCTGGTTTGGGGATCAAGGTAATGCTTGTCTCATAGAATGAGTCTGGAAGCTTTCTTTCTGTTTCTATTTTTTGAAACAGCTTCAGGAGAATAGGTATTATTTCTTTGAGTGTTTGGTAGAATTCCCCAGGGAATCCATCAGGCCCTGGACTCTTGTGTTTTGGGAGGTTTTTGATCACTGTTTCAGTCTCTTTACTGGTTATTGGCCTATTCAGGTGGTCAATTTCTTCTTGTTTCAGTCTTGGGAGTTTATAGGTTTCCAGGAAGGAATCCATTTCTTCCAGGTTGCTTAATTTATTGGCATATGGTTGTTGATAATAATTTCTAATAATTGTTTCTATTTCCTTGGTGTTGGTCGTGATCTCTCCCCTTTCATTCATAATTTTATTAATTTGGGTCCTTTCTCTTTTCTTTTGGATAAGTCTGGCCAGTGGTTTATCGATCTTATTAATTCTTTCAAAGAACCAGCTTCTAGTTTCGTTGATCTGATCTACTGTGTTTCTGGTTTCTAATTCATTGATCTCTGCTGTAATCTTAATTATATCTCTTCTAATGCATGGCTTAGACATTGTTTGTTGCTTTTTCTCCAGTTCTTTAAGGTGTAGAGTTAGTTGGTGAATTTGGGATTTTTCTATTTTTTTGAGTGAGGCTTGAATGGCTATGTATTTCCCCCTTCGGACCGCCTTTGCAGTATCCCATAGGTTTTGGATGGATATGTTTTTGTTCTCATTGGTTTCCATGAATTGTAAGTGCTTCTTTGATCCTGGTTGACCCAAACATTCTTGAGCAGAGTGGTCTTTAGCTTCTAAGTGTTTGAATTTCTGCCAAATTTTTTCTTGTGATTGAGGTCCAGTTTTAAAGCATTTTGGTCTGAGAATATGCAGGGAATGATCTCAGTCTTTTAGTATTGGTTGAAACCTGATTTGTGATCCAATATGTCGTCTATATGCACTTGAGAAGAATGAGTATTCTGTTGTTTTAGGGTGGAATGTTCTGTATATATCTATGCTCCCGATTCCTATTACAGACTGTCTTCTATGAGGTCCATCTGGTCCACTGTGTCATTCAAAGCTCTTGTTTCTTTGTTGATTTTCTGCTTAGGTGATCTGTCTATTGCTGAGAGTGGAGTATTGAGGTCTTCTATAATTAACATATTATTATCAATATGACTCTTTATTTTGGTTGACAGTTCGCTTATGTAGATGACTGCTCCCATGTTGGGGGCATAGATATTTACAATTGTTAGCTCTTCTTGTTGGATAGACCCTTTAAGAATGATATAGTGTCCTTCTGTGTCTCCAACTACAGTCTTTAGCTTAAAATCTAATTTGTCTGATAAAAGAATTGCTACCCCAGCTTTCTTTTGAGGTCCACTGGCATGGAAGATGGATCTCCATCCCTTCACTTTCAGTCTGGATGTATCTTTAGGTTCAAAATGAGTCTCTTGTAGACAGCATATGGGTGGGTCCTGTCTTTTTATCCAGTCTGCAACCCTGTGCTATTTTATGGGACCACTTAGGCTGTTCATGTTGAGAGTGATTATTGAAAGATAATGAATTTATTGTCATCATGTTGCCTGTGAAGTCCTTGTTTCTATAGATTGTCTCAGTAAATTTCTGTTCTACATCACTCTTGGGGTCTTTCTCCTTTTAGAGAACCCCCTTTAATAATTCTTGCAGGGCCGGCTTAGTGGTCACATATTCTTTCAGTTTCTGCAGCTTTGGAAGCTCTGCATCTCTCCATCCATTTTAAATGACAGCCTTCTTGGATAAAGTATTCTGGCTGCATGTTCTTCTCATTTAGTACCCTGAATATGTCTTGCCAGGCCTTTCTGGCTTGGTCGGTCTCTGTGGATAGGTCTGACTTATTCTGATATTCCTCCCTCTGTACGTAAGGAATCTCTTCCTCCTAACTGCCCTTAAGATGGTTTCCTTGATTCTCAGATATGCAAGTTTTACTATTACATTACGGGGTGTTGGTCTGCTTTCCTTGATCTTGGGAGGGGGTCCTCTCTGCCTCTAGGACACAAATGTTTGTTTCATTCCCCAGATTAAGGAAGTTCTCAGCTATGATTTGCTCAAATATATCTTCTAGTCCTATCTCTTTCTCTGCACTCCCTCAGGGATCCCAATAATTCTGGGATTTTTCATGGTGTCACTTATTTCTCTAATTCTGTTATCTTGGATTTTAAGTTGTTTCTCCCAGGCCTCCTCTTTTTCTTTCTTTTCTATCAATTTGTCTTCTAGATCACTAATTAGTTCTTCTGCCTCGTTTACCCTAGCTGTTAGATTATCTAGATTAGATTGGATCTCATTGATAGCATTTTTAAGTTCTGCCAGCTCAGCTTTCATTTCTGCCCTTAGAGACTGTATGTTGCCATTAATCGATTTCTCCATTCTACCTACCATCTTCATAACTGTTACTTTGAAGTCCGTTTCCGACATCTTTGTTATATCTGTATCCATTTGTAAATCTGTGGCAGAAGTCACAGTCTCTGAGTCTTTCCTATTTTGGGGGTTCCTCCTCCTGGTCATTCTGTTGATGGGTGGTTGTGGGAATGTATAGAGTCCAAATTATTGACCACAATCAAGCAAGATGCACCTGTTTTCTAGGGACCTTAGGGTTGCTGGCCTCTTGTTTTCCCAGCCTGTCTTCTGGGGGAGGGGCCTGCTGCACTGTTACTCAGGCAACCCTGTTTGGACAGAGTTGCCCTGCCCCCTGTGGGGGGGGGATGGGCTCAGTGAAAACCGGTTTTTGGGGGGCTTTTGTTCTCTGGCGGCTTTCCCTGGCAGCTTTCTGCGTCTCTTCCAAAAGTAGAGCAGAAGAGACCGTTTCCAACCCTCTGCCCCAGAACAGAGAGTTCGCAGTCTGTTCTTCAGTGACCTCTCCGGGCCACACTATCTCCATTTCTGTCTGTGGTGCTAAAAACTGCAGCGTCCTGGGTTGTGTGCCCCTCAGCAGCACTCCCAGTCCTTGCCTCCAGGTTGGGACAGTCTCTGCCCTTTGTGCTTCTAAAACTGCCAGTGCCCCTAGTTCACATGTGTGCCCTGCCGCTCTGGGTTTCAGTCCAGGGGGCTGCCCTAATGTCCTTTTCCCACTGCAGCTGGTCTGCGAGTCTGTGCCCCGTCCCCAGTGTGGGAGGCTTTCACGAACCTGCGGTGCAGGATCCCGTTGGCTCCCTCCCCCTTCCGTTTATTTTCCGATATCTGCCCGCGGAATCAGGGCTCCCCACTTCATACCTTGAAACCAACTGCCTATGATATTGTGTTTGTAGAGATCCAGATCTATCTTCTTACACCTCAGGCTGATTTTGTGGGTGTTCAGAGTGCTCTGGTAGATATCCAGCTCAATTCAGGGTACCGGTTGAAATAGGGTCCCCTACTCCTCTGCCATCTTTTCCTGCCCCCTCTGGAAGTAAAGTTTTATTGAAACATAGCCATGCTCCTTCATTTACTGTTGTCTGTGGCTGCTTTCCCAATATAGTGTCTGAGTTGAGTAATTACTACAGACAGTATTGCCCACAAAGCCTAAAATATTTACCATCTGACACTTTATTAAAAATGTCTGCCAAACTGTGCTTTACATTTTAAGAGCAGTTAGGGCACTACATGAAGGTTGAGGGCTATAGATAACTAGAAATAGATATAATAGAGACCAATATAATAGATGAGATGCCCAGAAAAGATGGATAATGCTAATTTGTGAGAGAAGGTAAAAAAGTGTGGAACCCTGGGAAGCCAAAAGTTAAGAGGCAGACAGAGGAAAAAGAATCTGGCAAAGTAAACTACTGGTTTAAGGAGAATCAGAGTTGTCATGGAAGTGAAGGGGAATAGGAGAAAAGAGCCCCTATATGTATATATTTTTAGTATGTTATGTTAATCAGCATACATTACATCATTAGTTTTTGATGTAGTGTTCCATGATTCATTGTTTTCGTATAACACCCAGTGCGCCATGCAGAATGTGCCCTCTTTAATACCCATCACCAGGCTAACCCATCCCCCCACCCCCCTCTAGAACCCTCAGTTTGTTTCTCAGAGTCCATAGTCTCTCATGGTTTGTCTCCCCCTCTGATTTCCCCCCTTCATTCTTCCCCTCCTGCTATCTTCTTCTTTTTTTTTTTTTTTTAACATGTAATGTATTATTTGTTTCAGAGGTACAGGTTTGTGGATGATAGAAACTGGGGAGGGTGTGTGCTATGGTGAGCACTGTGAATTGTGTAAGACAGTTGAATCACAGATTCCCAATATATTTTTAAGAAGTTTTATGTGCCAGGACCCTAAGGTAGGCTGTTCATGTATATTCTTTCTAATTTTATGGCAATTCTGTTTAGTAGGTAATGTATCAATAGGAAAGTGCCTGAATAGGGAAATGAATCCAAGTGAGTCTAAAACTCTTTTTATACTATTTGCCTGGAAGGAAGGAGTTTCAATGAAGTTAAATCAAAAGAGGAAAAGAGGTTTTGTAATTGTTATATAAAGAAAACATATATATTTGAAGATTAGAAGGTAGTTTATGATTTTTACCAAGAGTAATCTCCACTTATAGAAGCATATTAGCAAGTACTTTTCCTTATATTTTAGTATAAGATTATTTATCAGTAATGCCATTAAAGTTGTCATAATTTGCTGTATTTTTAAAAGTCATCAGATAAAGTTTTATAGAAAGTGAACATGATATAAATTATAGTGATTAAAATATCATTGCATAATTCTGAATCTTTAAGAACTGATATTTAGTTTTTGGAATTTAGGTTCATACTTTGGAAACAAAAGATCTAATGCAGAAAACCCATTTGCATCAAATTTTACTTTTGGTACAAGCTCGGCTTCTGCACAAGATAGTAATTATCCTCAAATACTGAAAACTCCATTGCCTACTGGAAATCCCCAGAGATCAGGTTATAAAAGTTGGACACCACAAATGGGATATTCAGGTAAAATGAAAATGAGTGGAATGTTTACCTAGATGACTTTGAAACTATTAAGGTTTGTAAATTATAAATTAGGGTGGTTAAGCTCATTTGACGTTATTTGTAACTGACACAGATGACTGAAAGAAAAATACTTCAGTTTACCCATATCCATAATTTGAGGTTAAGTTAATGCTACGTAGTTTCTGATACTATTTGTTAATAAATGCAGGTTTGTGTTATTTTAACTATTCTGACAAAAAAGTAAAAGAGAAAACTCTCCCTTTTATACATAATATTTACTTAAATCTAGCAGTTGATCCTGATAGTATTATTGTGCAGGGGTTTTTTTTCCATACTTAAATTTTAGTTTTTATCTAAATCTAGTTTTTCTTGAGGGGAAAATGAATGAAATAGTTCTTCATCTGTAAGTGTTCTCTAAGGTACATGCAGTAGAATTTCTTGGATACAGGACATGTGAATGTATACATTTATAAGATAATAACAAATTGTTTTCTAAATGCTTCTACCAGTGTACACTATTACTAGCAACATGTGAGAGTTCTTGTTGATCTGCATCCTCTCCAACAGTTGGTATTGTCAGACTTCTTAATATTTACCAGTCTAGCAGTTGTAAGATACTAATTGTAGTCTGAATTTGTATTTTCCTGGTTATTAATGAAGTTGATTATCTTTTGTGTGCTTTTTGACCATATAGTTTTCATTTTTTTGTGAAATGACTGTTCATGTGTTTTACCTATTTTTCTTTAGATTTATTTTTCTAGATTTGTAGAAATTCTTTATATATTCTGAATATATATTCAGAGTATATATTCTTTTGATGAATACATATATTGTGTATATCTTCTCTAGGTTATGGCTTGTCTTCCTCCTTTTTTTATGATGTTCTTTGATGAACAGAAGTTCTTAATTTTATACATTTTTAGTAAATGTTCTGCTGCACTTGTTTTTTCTTTTTATCTTTACAGTTGTGTTTTATATGTGTTTATTAGGTCTTTTCCTTTCTTTCTTTCTTTTTTAATAAACTACACTGGTTGTGGGGCTTAAACTCATGACCCTGAGATTAAGAGTCACATGCTCTATCCACTGAGCCAACCAGGTGCCCATTAGGTCCTTTCTTTAATTGTGTTGTTTAAGTCTGTATCACTAAAGACTTCTTTGTAGAGGTATATTAAAAACTCCCATTATGATTGTGGACTTGTCTATTTCTCTAGTAGTTCTGTTAATTTTTTGTTTTGCATATTTTGAAGCTATTTTAGTAAGAGCCTAAAAATTTAGCACTGTTATGTTGTAATAGGAAATGATTCTTCATTTCTAAATATACTTTTTGCTTTAACGTATATTTTGTCTGCTATTAATACAACAATTCCTTTTCTTTAGGTTACTGTTTATATGATATATATTTAAAAAATTTTTGACTTCCAAACTTTTACCCTCAGGCCTTTGTACATGGTATTTCCTATGCTTAGGAACACTTTCTTCCCCTCTTCATACAGTCAACTCTTATTTATTTCTCAAGTCTAAGCTTAAATGTTACATCTTACAGAAAGCTTTCTGTAATCCTATAAGTCTAGGCTGATTCTCTCTACTACGTGCTCCCATTTCACTTTGCATTTTACTAATAATATTGGTATTTAATTGTCTTTTTCTCTGCTGCTCTATAAATTCCATGAAGGCAGAGACTATAGCAGTCTGGATCTAATTTGAAGATAGAACCATATAATGATTTAAACAAGGGAGATTTAACATAAAGAATTATTAAACTATGATAACAAAGTCACTGTAGGATATAAGAAAACTCTGTAAGGTACTCTAGAACTGAGGGGAGGCCCAAGAGGTCCTATTTGGAAGCACGCTCTTTTCAGGGCTCATCTCCAAGTCTGGGGTATAGATCTCCTTGGAGAAAGTCAAGTTGAACCTACTAAATGGCAGAGGCTGCAGGTTTGCCAGGCAAGGATTGGTCCACTGTCCCCCTGGGAAGTGGTGCTATATGGGGCATTTAATGTTGATCAGATTAGGTACTCACAGTGTGGTTGGCCAGGTTAGCCTTGGTAAGAGGAAGTTCATGATGTTGAGCCCATGCATATCCTTGCCACCATGGCTGCTTTGTTCATAGGTCTACTAAAGAAGCACTGGGGTGGCTGGGAAAAGAGGCTAGTTGACATCTGCAGAGTGTAGCATTTTGTCTACCTGATTATTAAGAGTCCCCTCTATAGTAGTTGCCCTTTAGTGGGTGGGCATTCACATGAGACATAAATATTTTCGAAGTTTATGCCCATTCAAAGAGGTTCATCTGCATACTTTCCCCAAGCTTTCCTTTTTATTATCTTCTAGTTCTATTTCTTCCAAGTCCCTATCCAGCTAGACCATTACCAACTGCTTATGAATGAGTCTAAATCTGTACTTCTGGTATAGTACTACCTCATTCCAGACATGGTAGATAACCAAAGGTACTGCTCAAAGTTCTGCTCAACAAAAGATCAAAGTGAACAAAACAGCTAAAAAAATTAGAATAAAATAGTAATGCATATCAAATATCTCACAGTGAAAGAGGAGTTTCATAGCAGAAAAGCAATGGAAGAAATTAGAAAGGAAAAAGATTGTGTATACAAAAGCAGAAATCTTTGAGAGATCAAGATTGGTAGCAACTATAAATCATTTTCATTGATTTATAATATTTTATTCTTTATAAAATGCATTCATATATATAATCCCATTTGATCCATTCATACCAGCTCTTGAGTTAGGCAGGGCAGTTACTACATTTTGTGATTTTTGATTATTTATTATGAAGTAATTTGCTCAAATTCATATAGCTTTTAAACGATAGAGTAGGATAAATAATCTAGGTTTTCTCATCCCAAATTCAGTGTTCCTTCATAACTCCATTCCAATGAAATGCAAAATGGGGGAATGTATAAATTATTTCTAATTTTGAAGTTAAGTTTTGGCAAAATACTTTGAGAATTAACATTTTTATTTGGTCGGGATATTAAAAGTTGTTTTTTAATGAGGAAAAAAAAGTTATTTCCTTGGATATTAAGAGCCATGTCCTAAACTTGGTGCTTTGAGATCTTATTAGAAAGAATGAGAACAAGCGTGGAGGACACGGGGAAGGGAGGGAAAACTGGGAAGAAATCAGAGAGGGAGACAAACCATGAGAGACTCTGGACTCCGGGAAACAAACTGAGGGGTGTGCAGGGGAGGGGTTGGGGAGTTAGGGTAACAGTGTGATGGGTATTAAGGAGGGCATGTGTGGTGATGAGCACTGGATATTATATGCAACTAATGAATCGTTGAACATTACATCAAAAACTAACGATGTACTACTATATGTTGGCTAACTGAACATAATAAAAAAAAAGGAAAGAATGAGAACATACTATTATTAATTTTTATACATTTTCTTTTTTAAAAAATTTAACAGCTACATCGTCATCTGCAGTTTCAACACACTCCCCATCAGTTATTGTAGCTGTTGTAGAAGGTAGAGGACTTGCCAGAGGTGAAATAGGAATGGCAAGTATTGATTTAAAAAGCCCACAAATTATATTATCTCAGTTTGCAGACAATACAACATATGCGAAGGTAAGTATTTATACTGTTAGAAAATGGTTGACCTAGTGAGCACTATGTAGATTTTCAAGTCACTACTTTCCTAATTAGTTTACTTTTTCATGGAATAAAGTTTATTCACAATTGTTCTAATGTAGGCTACTCTGAATTAAAACTGTTTTACATCTGATTTTAATTTTTTTAATGTATTTTGTCCTAAAAATAATGTGCTTTGCTGTTATATGAACATTTCAAATTACTGTTAATTTCTAAAATTAACCTCTTCAAATTAATAGTTCTTGGACTCATTCCAAAGATTATATATTAATAATGCTATTGCCAAAGTTGTTTCACTGAACAGTATTTGAATTCTTTTTCCAGAGTTCAGGGAAACTGGTCTTTTAGGTCAGTCATAATTTAGCCTCTTCTTGCCTTCACTTCCTATCACTTATCATTAATTTGGGCCACTGGCCTATTGTCATGGAAATTTCTGTCATTTACCAGGTAGATGTAATCTGCTTTTAATCTCTATATTCTAAAAAGTTAGTTGACCCAATTTCTGTTATTAAATATATATATGCTATGTTATTTTTAGCATTTTATTGTTTTTTTTTTTTCCTTTTCCTAATTCCTCTTTATGGTTTCTCAGTACATAGATTTCCTTTTCCTACCTAATAATTAATTGTTTTAACATAGCTAACAACCTACATGATACTAGTACTGCATGTAACATTATCTCTGGGTATTTCACATTTTTATGCAATTTAAAAAAACATAGGAAAAAGCTTTTTTTAAAAACAAATGTTTGGCAAATTGATTAAGAATTTCTGTGTCTGGGGGCGCTGGGTGGCTCAGTTGTTTAACATCTGCTTTTGGCTCAGGTCATGATCCCAGGACCCTGGGATGAAGCCCCACATCAAACTCCCGCTCAGCGGGAAGTCTGCTTCTCCTTCTCCTTCTGCCCCTCTCCCTCACTCATATTCGCGCGCTCTCTCTCTCTCTCTCAAATAAATAAATAAAATCTTTAAAAAAAAAAAAAAAGAATTTCTGTGTCTGGGATAGTTCTAAGAAATGCACCTATATTGTGAAAAGAATAAGTTGTAAAACATATGTTTCTCATCTGTGTTTCTATACTGTTCAACTTCTAAGCTGTACCAGTGTGGTCATAATGATTGAATCACCATAGTTATACTTTTGAATGTGTTTATGTTTTTTATGGAGATGGATAGAATACCAAATAGAAGAATTAATTTTAAAACATCTTATATTAGGAATATATATCTGATAAGTTCAAATTAATTTTTGAGCTTAGAGCTGTTACAAATTATTGTGAAGTAAAATATAACCTATGTTTATTATATTTTATATATATGATATATTTATATTCATATAGCATATATGTGTAATATATCACTTTTAGAAATATACCTTAACTGACGTATCTGTGAATTAATTTTAAGTACTTATCTCTCAGAAAAATATGCCACTTGTTTGGTTTTAGAGAATCCTAAGCTTACATTTAAGAAATTATTTATTCAAATTATTTTAGGTGATTACTAAACTCAAAATTTTATCACCTTTGGAAATAATAATGTCAAATACTGCTTGTGTTGTGGGGAATTCAACTAAGTTGTTTACTCTGATCACAGAAAATTTCAAGGTGAGTGATTTTTATTCTCAATAGTAACATTCAAGTCTTACCTTATTTAAAATCCATTCTATAATAGCATTCTGGAGAACAATAATTTGAAAAACTTTATATTTACCCTAAAGTACTCACTAAATACAAGTCCTAAACTAATGGACAGTTAATACATAAAATGAAAATGACAGGGCATCCACTTACTTGATTTGGCACCCTTGATCTACCTTAAACACCATCTTTTTTTTTTAATTGTAGGTTACTTCTGTGAGGTTTAAGATAATTATGATGGCTACAGATTGATGTGATCTCAGCTTATCGAATTCAGAGAAAAAATATATTCTTTCTTCCAGTGTCCATATATAAATTCCAGGGAAGGACCCTAATGGGTCCTGCTTTGTTCATACTCCCACATATTAGACTAATTACAGTTTCTCAGGGTAGAAGCACTATGATTGATTAATCCCTGGTCATTTGCTTTCTGTGGGGATACAGGGCTCTGTAACTGACAGTTACCAAACCCACATGGAATGTAAAATAGATGAGTCCTTCAAAGGCAAAAACAGCATATATTCACTACACTTGAGATGTAGGGCAGTATGGCATAGTGCTTAAGAATAGAGGAGTCAGACTGTGCTTGTTTCAGATCTTGACTCTACATGATCTTGTACAAGTTAAGTTACTTAAGTTTTTTTCATCAGTAAAATAGGGACAATAATCTACCTCTTAGAGAATTGGTATTTTATATAACATAATTAGAGAAATGACCTCATTGATTTAAGGTTACTTTTGGGCAAAGCCCTAAAGGAAGTGAGAGACAGAGCCATAGAACTATTGGGGTAAAAGTATTATAAGCAGAGGGGAAAAACCAGTATTATTATTATTGTCATTATTACCACACTTATCATAAAAAAAACCTTCATTAGAAGAGAAGCACTATGAAGTGGAAGGACTTTGTAGCCAGAGAAGTCTAAATTCAAGTCTCAGTTCTGGCACGTATCAAATGTATGATGTTAGAAAAACTACTTGACTTTTTAGAATTTTACTTGTAAGAAAATTGTAGTTAAAACAAGACTTACATCGTGGAGTTATTGTGATGATTAACTGAGATAATTTAAAACAGTCTTGGTGCATAACAAATTCCCTATCTCCTCATGAATTTTTTTTTTCCCTGTCTTACAGCTCTTTCATAGTCCATTGTTATTATATTATCTTTCTTACATATTGTTTTTATTCAGAGGAGGTAAACCTTTTACTCTACAACTTCATGCTTTTTTTCCTACTCCTTTAAAAAAGTTTCATTATCTCCTTTTCTTCTAAATAAATTCACCTTATGTATATAACATCTCATAGATTTGGTAGCTGGAATTGATATTTTTTTCCTCTGCAGCTAATACATTATAAGGATCTACTCTATCTCAATTATGGTATAGAATATGTAACACCAAATGTAAAACCTGGGTGGTGATGTTGCTGTAGAATAAAGTTAATAGAAGGCAGAGGCTCTCATGTTTATTTTTTATTATTGTACCTACCACATTCAGTTAAATGTCATGTGAATATGGTCTAATAAGAGCTATAAACTGCTGTGATTCACTTAGTAAAATAGATAATCATTCTTTTTTTGTAAATCATTAAGAAAATATCTTATTTAACTCTGGAAAATAATAAATAATAAAAAATAAACTTTATATGACATTGAAGCCACCTAAGCAGTTTTGGGGCAACTGCATGAAACTTAAAATTTATTTTGAAATTAAAACTTCTTTTCAGAATGTTAATTTTACTACTATCCAAAGGAAATACTTCAATGAAACAAAAGGACTAGAGTACATTGAACAGTTATGCATAACAGAATTCAGCACTGTCCTAATGGAGGTTCAGTCCAAGTAAGTTATGACTTAAGGAAAATGTTAAGTCTGTAGTGTGAGTTCCATGAGGGCAAGGTCTTTTGTTCATTTTGTTTTCTGCTGTATCCCTAGAAAAGTGCCTGACTTACAATACATACTCCATAATTATTGAAATAGTAAAATAGTTAACTAAAATTTATATACAAGGCATATTTTGCTAACTTAATTTATACAGAATTTTTCCAAATTGGTCATAATCTGTTGCCATTATGGTTGCTGCTCACTTTACTTTGGAGTGAATTGCTCAAGTAGCTACAGTAACCTAGAAATGTGAGACACCGAGCTGTAGTCCTGTTATTTCATACATGTACTCCTAAGAGATTCAGCTAGGACAGGGAATGATATTTTTAAAAAGGATTTTTTTTAAAAGATTTTATTTATTTGATAGAGAGAGAACACAAGTAGGGGCAGCTGCAGGCAGAGGGAGAGGGAGAAGCAGACTTCCTCCTGAGCAGGGAGCCCAACGTGGGGCTCTATCCCAGGACCCCGAGATCATGACCTGAGCCGAAGGCAGATGCTTAACAGACTGAGCCACCCAGGCACCCTAGAAAGGGTATTTTTTAGAACATAGTAAATAGATACTTTCTTTGAGCTGGGTTGGACTAGTTGTGTATTCAGTTAATCACAGTAACTAAGCTCACCAAGATCATAACATACTTTTCTATACATAGGAACCTTCTAACTCTGTCAGACCTTTTCAACATTATTTGAATTCTTAGTATGGTACATTGACACAAGTTACCACTGAATATTGTCTTCCAGCCTGTGATTTATTGGAGTTGTTAAGTGTCAGACTTCAGAAAATTGTCTATCAACTTTTATGTTTTAGAGGTTATTTTGTTAGTTTTCAAAAGTAAAGAGCACTGAAAAAAAAATAAAGAGCACTGGGTGTGCTTTTCCCTTTGAATTTAAGCAGTGCTATGCAAATATTTATAATTTTCCTAATAATAGGGTGAAATAAATGTTTTATAGCAATACTTTGTTTTATTCTAAAGATTTACAGTGAAGTGTCATTGGTCACCTTTCAGGTATTACTGCCTTGCAGCTGTTGCAGCTTTATTAAAATATGTAGAATTTATTCAAAATTCAGTTTATGCACCAAAATCGCTGAAGATTTGTTTCCAGGGTAGTGAACAGACAGCCATGATAGATTCATCATCAGCCCAAAACCTTGAATTACTAATTAATAATCAAGACTGTAGGTAAGATCATCTAAATTTTTTTCTTACAAAATATATGTGTATTTTATTATGTCCTATTTTTCTATGAATAGTTATTTTACATTTCTGTAAATTGATATAGAAATATTGAATAAACATACCTTCAATCATTGTACCATTGTTGCTGAACTGCTCAGATGTTTCACGAAAGTCGAATTTTAAAAAAGTATTTGTATGAAACAACAAAAAACAACCCATTTCAAAACTAGGCAAAGGACTTGAATGGACATTTCTCCAAAGAAGATATCCAAATGGCCAATAAGCACAGTCATTATGGAAATGCAAATCAAAACCCACAGTTACTACTTCACACTCATTAAGATGGTTATTATCAAGTAAGTAGAAAATAAGTGTTGGCAAAGATGTGGAGAAATTGGAACCCTGGTACATTTATCATGAGAATATAAAATGATACAGTCATTTTTGGAAACAGTATGGTGATTCCTCAAAGAAAGTTAAACATAGAATTACCATATGATTCAGCATTCTACTTCTAAGTGCGCATACCGAGAAGAATTGAAAGCAGAGACTCAAAGAGATACTTGCAGACAAGTGTTCACAGCAGCATTATTCACAGTAGCCAAAAGGTGAAAATAAACCTAATGTCCATCAGTGAGTGACTGACTAGATAAACAAAATAAGGTATATACATAATGTACAATGGAATACCATTCAACCTTATGAGTGAAATTCTGATATATGCCACAAGATGTATGAACCTTGAAGACATTGTACTAAGTGCAATAAGCCAAACACAAAAGGAAAAATATTTTATAATTCCACTTAGATACCTAGACTAGGCAAATTCATAGAGACAGAAAGTAGACAAAAATTATCAGGGACTTGGAACAGTAGGGAGTAGGTAGTTACTGTTTGGTGGATTCAGAGTTTCTGCTTGGGATGATGAAAAAGTTCTGGAAATGGGTAATGACAGTTGTACAATATTGTGGATGTATCTAACAACACTGAATTATGTACTTAAAATGTTTAAAATGGTAAAATTTATGTTATGTGTGTTTTACCACAATAAAAAGAAATTGTATCCAGACTACCACAAAATTGGAATGACCAGCTTTATTAAAAGCATCAAGTACAGGAAATTTAAGGGGCTATATAATTATTTGAGAAGGTAAAAATAGTTGAATCAACTTGGTCTGTGGTGTATGACTAGATTGCTGGTTTTACTGGCTTATTATTAACTTTAGTTAGAGTACCAGGAATATGAATGGTGAGCATGAGAGAGAGAGAGAGAGATAGGGAGAGGCACAGACAGACACAGAGTGTTTATAGATTTCATAGTAGGGTACTTCAACTAGAATTAACACATTAATAGAAAATAATATAATCAACATGGTGATGGTGAGGCAGAAATGCATTAATACGGGGTTGGTTTGGTACAAAGAATGAGGAATTACAGTGTAGAGGTGGAAACACATAGTATTATTAATATGTACTAAGTATGGTGATAAAATTTGCATAAAAATGATGGGATCATAGCAGAGAGAGAGTTAATTGGGCTTGGGTTAAGGGTAAAAGGGAAGTAGTTAGGAAAGGCTTTCTAGAGGAGATAATACCTGAGGTAAGTTTTGAAATATAAACATAAATATAAGTAATCTAGATGAAGTAGAAAAGGTGGTAAGACAGTAAGTCTCAAAAGCATGATTTTCATTATAACAATATGGTATGTGCAAGGAAACTAAAGCTATTTAATATTACTGATTGGTAAAGTGCAAGTTCGGAGTAAGTAAGCTTGGAGTAGTTAAATAATCAGCTTTTGGTAATTAAATATAACATTAGACATCAATGAAAGGGATAAACTTAAAATGGTTATGATTTTTAGTATTAAGAGTATTGAAGGGAATAAAGAGTACTTTAGACAATTGAAACCTTAAGGTGCTCAGTGCAAATTTAGAGCCATAGTTGTTTAAATATCTCTATTACTTTGTATATTCTTATTTTGGCTTCACTTTCCATTATGTGAAATTGCCAGACATTATTTGCTGTTGCAAACTTAGAAACATAGGCTGTCTAATTTTGTTAATTACTTATACTCTAATCATCAAGAGCAGTTTAAATCTATCTAGGTACTGTTGATACTACTTTTAGTAAGAGTAGTACTGTATGTAACACTTTTAGTTATCCATCAGTATAGTAGGCTCAGTTCCTTTGCAGTTCCATTGGCTAATGATGGTCTAAAATTACAACCTTAAAGAATTTATAGTTAATTGTAGCTATTATTCCTTTTCAATTTAGTCAATAAGGAATTTTTTTCTTCTTGCTACTTAAAAAGGATTAAAATAATATTATTTGGAAAAATTACTCTGTCATTTACTTTCTATGTTATAATAACATAGAGTAACAGAGAGAGTCAATAACCAAGGCTGATAATTACTACAAAGTGTTTATACTTTGTCACATTTAATAGTTCATCATTATTTATCATTATCATTGTCAAACATTGCTTGAGTTCCAGCTATATATTACATGATAGGATATTTGACCTCTAGGAGTTCATATTATAGTTGAAAAGGAGAAATTGAGAAGCCTTTTCATAGACTTGAAGCAAAGAATTTCAGGTTAAAAGATGGATATTCTACCTGCTGAACTATCTGAATAGCTCTAACACTTCTGTAGACTTGTCACCTGTTCAGAGCAGTTTCACTCTTTGATTTCTATAGCAAATGGCAGGTTTGGGTATGCTGCTCACTTCCTTGGTTCCTGTAGAAGCCCAGTTCTCAAAAAGTAAATGCCTGGGATGACTCTACTCCCACCCCTGACCAGGACTTGATTTGAGTAGTTCTCTAAAAATTTGTTTAAATTGATATACCAGGGCACCTGGCTGGCTCAGTTGGTAGAGCATATTTGGTCTCAAGGTTGTGACTTCAAGCCCTACATTGGGGGTAAAGTTTACTTAAAAAAAATTGATATACCAAAAATCTGCTAGTCCAATGACTAAATTAAGAGTCATTCTTGTTTTCTACCCTCTCTTAACCCGGATTCAGTCCACTAGTAAATCCCCTTGACTCAACCTTTAGAATACATACCAATTCTGGATCACATCTTACCATTTCCAAGGCTACAGTCCTAACCATTACCAACATCATTTTAGCCTGGACTACTATAATTACCCCTACCTTGTTTCTCTGCCTTCTTTTTACCCTCCTACATTTATTTAGTCTATTCTTGATCTAGTGGGCAGACTGTGATCCTTTTAAACTAGAAATCAGATGTTGGAACTCTGCTGCTGAAAATCTTCCAGTGGCTCCCATTACATTTAGAATAGAGTCCGGACTCTTTACCATGGCCTACAAGGACTTCTATGTACTGGTCTCTGTCAGCTTCTTCATCTCCCTCCATTTTCTTTCACTTGCAGAGTTCCATCACACTTGATCTTCTTTCTGGTTCTAGATCCAAAAAGACTTCCTGGGCTTAAATTACTGTTCTGCTTGGCCCTTTTTAACTGATAACTCTTTTCTTGTTATTTAATTATTAGGAAATCTTAGACAAGTAAGTTAATTTCTTTGCACTTCAGTTCCTTCCCTTGTAAAATGTGGTTAAATCTAGCATCTACTTCACACTGGTTATTAGAATTAAATAAGTTAATATATGTAAAGTGCTTAGAATATTGCCTGGCACATACTTAGTGTTCAATATATGTTACCTATGCTCACCATCATTGTCACCATCATCTGCATCCCATCATCATCTTTGCATGGACACCTTTTGAATTCAACTACCAAATGCATATATAGGTCTCTCTCAACCAACTTAACTAAAGCAACCCTCCTGGTCATTCTCTATGCAGTCCTGTTCTGTTTAACACTTTCTGTACCTGAAATTATTTTCTTTCTCTTTTATTTGTAATTCTCTTAACTTCTTAAATTAGAACAAAGTGATTAGTCACTTTTTTAAATGTAAAAGCTCTTTTCCCCTATAAAAGATATATTACTGTTATCTTGCTATTATTGATGGAATGCCATGGAGTAGAACATTTTATATTAGTCTGAATATTCCAGCTGACCTATGAAAAAAGTCATTAACTAAATGCAAGAAGATACTGTTAATTAAAGCCTTGTTCATTGATAGCGTACTTGGGATCTTATTTGAAATATATATTCTCAGGCCTCATCTCAGACTTACTCATCTCAGACTTAGAATTCCCTGTGTGATTTGTATGCACATTAAAGTTTGAGAATCACTACTGTAGATTATAGGATTATTTAGGAAGTTAAATGGTAACTTTTTTTGATTTTTCCTTGTATACTTAATGAAATTTTCCTAATTTGTATTTTCAAAGGAATAATCACACACTCTTTGGTGTTCTAAATTATACTAAGACTCCTGGAGGAAGTAGAAGACTTCGTTCTAATATATTAGAACCTCTAGTTGATATTGAAACCATTAACATGAGATTAGATTGTGTTCAAGAACTACTTCAAGATGAGGAGCTCTTTTTTGGACTTCAGTCAGGTAAATGAATATCACCTAATTTTATGAATACAAATTATTAAAAAATACATTGTCTTTTTATAAGAATACTAGTCATATTGGATTAAGTCTCATCCTAATAACATTATCTTAACTTACATCTGCAAAGATCTAATTTCCAAATAAGATCACATTCAGATACCAGGGTTTAGGACTTCAAAATATCTTTTTGGGGACACAATTCAACCCCCATAACATAAGGTAAGAGAATTGCCTTTGGCATCTGGCTATTTGTTCACTCGCATGGCAATATAGTTCTCTTCTTAAATCTATAGGAAGGACAGTAGATACGTACTACTCCGAGGCCAGTTCCTGGTTCCTAGCAGTTTGATCTGTCTTTCATACCCCTACTCCCAACCATTCCACATGGTGTTCTGGTACATGAAAATCTAGGAGGCATTGAGCAAGCTACAAAGAAATTATTTTTTTTAAGTTTATTTTTTAGTAATCTCTACACCCAACATGGGGTTCAGACTCACAGCCCTGAGCTCAAGAGTTGCATGCTCCCCGACTAAGCCAGCCAGGTGCCCCACAAAGAGGACATTTTTAATTGTAATCCTTTTCTTGTTCACAGCAACATCTTTTTGGCCGACCTATACCTGGCCTTCCATGTTATACATAAGTGCCTAGAATATGAAGTTATTTAATTATGTAATGTTAGTCAAACTCCAACAGTTGTCATCTTTTTAAACTTTCTGCTACTAAATATGCAGTTGCCCTTCTCTTGCCTGTAGCTAACTGCTCCACCTATGTTCTGGATACTGTCTTTGTACTCATGTGTCTCCTGTATCTTTAATACCTTTCTCTCTTCCTCCTGTCTTTCCCATCTTTGTAAAAAAAAAAAAAAAAAATCTTGCTGGACTTTACCTTCTCCAGCTACCACCTTATTTCTCTCTTCTCCCAATTCATACGTAAACTGGTTGAAAGACAGATTTTCTGTAGTCACTATCTTCTCTTCACAACATTTCAGTCTGCTGCAGTCTTGTTTCTGTGCTCACTGTGTGAGATTCCTCTAGTCAAGGTTACTGTAGCAAATGTTATTGGTTCTTTGTCAAGATCCTCTTGGGTCTGTTTTACCTTTCTGTGTGCCCCTTTTCTTGCTCTGTGTGGCTTTTGCTTCTACTAGCCCACCTGTGGAATCTCATTGGAATCCTGGCCCCAGACTGTTAGAGCATTTTGCTCTCAAGAAGTGTGCCAAAAGTGCCTTGCAGCCCTTAAATCACTGAATGAAGTGGGAATATGAAAATGCTGCTCTTTCTGAAAAATTTTTATTAAAATTCAATTTAGTTAACATATATTGTATTATTAGTTTCATGGGTAGAATTTAGTGATTCATTGGTTGCATATAATATCCCACTGGGGTATTACATTACATCAAGTGCCCTCCTTAATGCCCATCACCCACTCAAAATGGATGAAAGATCTAAATGTGAGACAGGAATCCATCAAAATCCTAGAGGAGAACACAGGCAGCAACTTCTTTGACCTCGACCACAGTAACTTCTTACTAGACATGTCTCTGAAGGCAAGGGAAATGAAAACAAAAAACTATTGGGACTTCATCAGGATAAAAAGCTTTTGCACAGCAAAGAAAACAGTCAACAAAACTAAAAGGCAACCTACAAAAGGGAGAAGATATTTGCAAATGACTTATCAGATAAAGGGCTAGTATCCAAAATCCTTAAAGAACTTATCAAACTTAACACCCCCAAACCAAAAAATCCAGTCAAGAAATGGGCAGAAGACATGAACAGACATTTTTCCAAAGAAGACATCCAAATGGCCAATAGACACATGAAAAAATGCTCCACATCTCTTGGCATCAGGGAAATACAAATCAAAACCACAATAAGATAAAACCCTGCCCTTTTTATATTGGTTTGGTGAAAACCCTGAATATAACTTAAAGTCCAGGATTCTTCTGTAGGATCAGTTGAAGTTACCTTCTATAGGACTTTGCCTGAAATTATACTTTTGTTTGTCTTTTTCCCTTCCCCATCCTTCTCTCTTTTCCTGTTTTCTCTTGGAAGCATATTTTTTAAAAAATTATTTAAATTTTAGTTAACATATAGTGCAATATTAGTTTCAGGAGTAGAGTTCAGTGATTCATCACTTACATACAATACCCAGTGCTCATCACAAGTGCCCTCTTTAATAGCCATCACCATCTAGCCCATCCCCCCACCTACCTCCCTCCATCAACTGTCAGTTTTTCTCTATGGTTAAGAATCTCTTGGGTGGGGCGCCTGGGTGGCTCAGTCAGTTAAGCATCTGCCTTCAGCTCAGGTCATGATCCCAGGGTCCTGGGATTGAGTCCCATATCAGGCTACCTGCTCAGTGGGGAGCCTGCTTCTCCCTCTCTAAAAAAAAAAAAATCCGGTGCCTGGGTGGCTCAGTCGGTTAGGTGTCTGCCTCAGCTCAGGTAATGATTTCAGGGTCCTGGGATGGAGCCCTGCATCAGGCTCCGTGCTCATCACTGGGGAATCTGCTGCTTCTCCCTCTGCTGCTCCCCGCCCCTTCCTGCTTGTGCTCTCTCTCAAATAAAATCTTTAAAAGAATCTCTTATGGTTGGTTTCCCTCTCTCTTTTTTCCCCCCTCCCATATGTTCATCTGTTTTGTTTCTTAAATTTGGAAACACCTTTTTTTTTCCTTAAGTAGGCTCCACATCCTGTGGAGCCCAGTGTGGGGCTTGAACTTACAACCCTGAGATCAAGACCTGAGCTGAGATCAGGAGTTGGACGCTTAAGTGACTGAGCCACCCAGATACCCCTGGAAGCACATTCTTTTTTTTTTTTTTTTTAAAGATTTTTTATTTATTTATCTGAGAGAGAGAAATGGGAGACAGAGAGCATGAGAGGGGGAGGAAACTCATTTCTTTAAAAAGTTTACATGACAGGAAACAACAAATGTTGGCGAGGATGTGGAGAAAGGGGAACTCTTTTACACTCTTGATGGGAATGCAAGCTGATACAGCCACTCTGGAAAACAGTATGGTGGTTCCTAAAGATGTTAAAAATAGAGGTACCCTACAACCCACAATTGCACTACTAGGTATTTACCCCAAAGATACAGATGTAGTGAAAAGAAGGGGCACATTCACCCCAATGTTCATAGCAGCAATGTCCGCAATAACCAAACTGTGGAAGGAGCCGAGATGTCCTTCAACAGACGAATGGATAAAGAAGATGTGGTCCATATATACAATGGAATATTACTCAGCCATCAGAAAGGATGAATACCTACCATTTGCATGGACATGGGTGGAACTGGAGGGTATTACGCTAAGTGAAATAAGTCAAGCAGAGAAAGTCAATTATCATATGGGTTCACTTATTTGTGGAACATAAGGAATAGCACAGAGGACCATAGGCGAAGGGAGGGAAAACTGAATGGGAAGAAATCAGAGAGGGAGACAAACCATGAGAGACTCTGGACTCCAGGAAACAAACTGAGGGTTACAGAAGGGGGGGGGGGTTGGGGGGATGGGGTAGCCAGGTGATGGGTATTAAGGAGGGCACGCGATAAGATGAGCACTGGGTGTTATATGCAACTAATGAATCGTTGAACACTACATTAAAAAAAATAATGATGTATTATATGTTGGCTAATTTAACATAATAAAAAAAAAGTTTACATGAATATCCAGTCAGAACCAACTGGTTATCTCCCTTGAAATGTTATCTATATGGATTTCCAAATAGACCTCAGGACTGTATACAATCTTGGAATGTCCTCAGAAAGCTCTGTCATTGACCAGGTAACAGTAAAAACTTCAGAGTCCTTTCTTTCACATGGAAAAGGAAAAGACTTCTGAGTCTTCTTTAAGGTTTCTATTCCTTTGCTCAGTCCCTAAATGCTAAGCCTCTTCAAAGATATGTCCTAGGTTGTCTTTTTACCCTGTATATTCTTATATGACTTACCTTCCTGCTTTTATAATTATCACTCACATATTCATGACTTCCTAATCTACATCTCATACCCAGATATCTCTACAGACCTTCAGCCCCATCTATCTTATTGCCTACTGAGCACTTTTTTAGATGTTCCTCAACCATTTCAAATTCAGTGTTCCCAAACTGTGCTATCTTCCTTCTAAGTCAGTCTTCCTGATTTCAGTGAAGAGCTCTACATCCAACCTCTACTGAGCCAGATACCTGGAAGTCATTCTTTTTTTTTTTAATTTTTAAAAAAGATTTTATTTATTTATTTGACAGAGCACAAGCAGGGAGAGCAACAGGCAGAGGGAGAGGGAGAAGCAGACTCCTTATATGACTTACCTTCCTGGTTTTATAATTAGCACAGGATCCACAGATAATATTTCAGTTCTTTTTTTTTTTTTACATTTATTTATTATTTATGTAATCTCTGCACTCAGTGTGGGGCTTGAACTAATGACCCCAAGATCAAGAGTCGCATGCTTTGCCGACTGAGCCAGCTGGGTGCCCTGATAATATTTCAGTTCTATATTAAGGAAATGGGTAGGATTTTGACAACAGGAGAACCCTAGAAATGATATTTGAGACAAAGGGAACATGCCTCTGCAAGGTATGCTGATGCACATAGGGCGACAACACTTTTTTTGGTTGTAGTTGCTGGGATAAATATCTGATATGAGTGCCATTGGCTGTGATCTTGAGCAGTCATTATTTTCTAGGGAACACTTGTTTTTCTGGGAAATTGGGGAAGATAGAGTTAACATAAGCTTCTGCAGTTTTATTTAATGTTGATATGAAAGAGCTTGCTGTATTTAAGGCATGGCCAGTAGTTACTTATGATTTGAAGCCTTGAGGAATGGCAGGAAATGAGGATTGGGGCTAGCTTGTGAAGGGCTTTTATATAATGGTAAGAAATTTGGGATTTTATCCTGCAAATAATAGGGAGCTGATGATTTTAAATCAGGAGAGTAATATGATCAAACCCTTATTTTAGAAACATTATTCTGGTTGTTATGATAGGCTTAGGTAAGGGAAGAAGAAGAGACCAAAAAAGAAAGAGGCCAATCTATATGAGGGCTTAGGAGAGTCTGGTTAGTGGAATCACATGTAAAATGTCACAATAGTATTATGTCTTATTGAACAGTATAATTTATATTACAGTCTATTTACTGTGATTTTTCAACATAGCTTTAATATAGCTAATTACTATAGAAGCAGCAAATTAGAAAGGGACAGAGTTGTAGAGGTAGGCAAACTGAAAAATACCACAAGATACTTGGCAGTTTGAACAGGAAGAAAGTGACATAAAATTTTTATCTTTTTGGTTTTTTTTTTTAACAGTGTAGCAGGTTGGATCCATTTTGTGAAAGTATCAGTAAGTCTACACAAAAGCTTTGAGGTCACATGTTTCAGTGATGATAATAGTCATGAGTTATTAAGAAACAGTTACTATAGTTTACTGTATTTTAAGTACGAGGAAATGGAGTTCATCCTTAAAAGGTCTGTTAAATGGCAAAATTAAAAAAAAACTGGAGATATTTAAAAGGCATAGATTACAATTATCTATGAATTTATTTTTGTAGAAAACTTTAAGCTGGAAAATGAGTTGAGAAGAACAAAAGAACAGTTTTGAGCTCTAGTGTGTGCAAGGTACTTTACATATATTATCTCCCTTACTCCTCACAACAATCCTAGGAGGTAGATGTTACTATCCACATTTAAAAAATGAAAACAACCAAAGTTCAGAGAAAATAGGTAAATTCTGGTAGGCTACATGGTTAGTGGTTGAACTGGATTTTTAAACTAATCTTAAGTATCAGGAAGAAAAGTTACAGATCAAAAAGGTGGGAAGAAAATTATAATAACATCTAAAAGCCAGAGAAGTAAGTTTTTAGAAGGAAAGGGTGATCAACAGTGTCAGATTTTGAAGACAGAATATAACGAATAAAATTAAGAAAAGACCATTAAAATTTATTGTTTTATTCCTGACACATGTAAGATAGATAAAGACGATTAAAACAAGTAATGTTTGTAGGTAGAACTGTTCTATTTTATTATTTGAGAATAATACTTTACATAGTTTATATTTTGAACTGTAACACAAAGTTTAAATGCACATGTTTTTTGTTTGTTTCAGTTATATCAAGATTTCTTGATACAGAGCAGCTTCTTTCTGTTTTAGTCCAAATTCCAAAGCAAGACACGGTATGTATGTATATATTATATGTTATTATACTTTATATGATATAATTTGTCTTAATGTGATATAACAATTAGAAAATATAAAAATATTTTGGAAAAGTACTTCATTATTAATACCTGGAACATTTTTATGCCTTTTAAAGGAAACATTTTTTCCCAATTTCCTATTATATGTTATAGTAAAAATTAAAAGTTTCTTAATTGAGGAATTGGCATATTTTCATTAATCAAATATTTACTTAAAAAGTTTATAATCTTTTTAAAACTTAGATTATAATTTTTGCTTAATAAATAACTAGATAAAAATTATCTTAGATCCAAAGATTATGGGTGCTTCTTAAAAGTGAACATTATGTAAAGTTTGATTAGCCTTCAAATCTGCTTAAACTTTAAGATGAAACAGTGTCTTTGGATATTTTTCAAAATTAAATACTTAGTGCTTATAGGCACATCCTGTAAAAAAAAGTGATAGATGGTTTTTATTCTTCTCTTTAAGGTGAATTGAAAAATATTTACTTTAATGAAATACACACATATTTTTGCTCATATGCTTAAAAAGGAAAAGAGTTTTGTACATCAGTAGAGTTTGATTTAAAATTTGATTACTTTGCAAATCCATTGAAATCTATGCTTCAGAACTCTTTCTTTATTGTAGAGATAACACTCTTTAGGTTCATTTATAATAAAAACATCATCCGACGGATGGAAAAGCTTTGGCTGTTGGATAGGCACAGAACTAGAAGTTTTCTTAAATAATTGAAATACCTTGTAATAATTCAATATATACAAGTGGGAATTAGCCAAAAACAACTGATGTCTGGAACAAAATTAATTACATTCGTAACATGAGTTTGAAAGTATTCCTCCTCTTTAACTTTCTAGAACAGTTTGTGTAGAACTGGTTTTATTTATCCCTTAAATGTTTGGTAGAATTCACAAATGAAGCTATTAGAACGTGGGATTTTCTTTCTAGGGAGGTTTTCGACTGTAAATCCACCTTATTAAACAGATATGGTGCTATTCAGATTACCTCTTTCTCATTGAATGAGCTTTCGTAGATTGTGTCTTTCAAAGAATTTGTCATTTCACCCAACTTGTTGAATTTATTGGCATTACATTGTTCCTAATAAACTCCTTATTATCCTTTTTATATTTGTAAAACTTGCAGTGATATATTCTTATTCTTGATGTTGGTAATTTAATATTCTCTCTTTTTTTTTTCTTAGTCATTCTGGCTAGAGGTTATCAATTTTCTTGGTGTTTTCAAGAAACCAATTTTTGATTTAATTGATTTCGTCTTCTTTTCTTGTTCTCCATTTTGTGGATTTCTTTTATCAGTCTTTTTTTTTTTTTTGAGCAAATATTTGTTTGTTTGTTTGCTTGTTTTCTTCCAAGTTTTTATTTCAATTCCAGTTAGGTAATATACAGTGTAATATTAGTTTCAGGTGTGCAATATAATGATTCAACACTTCTGTACAACACCCAGTGCTCATCACAAGTGTACTCCTTAATCCCCATTACCCATTTAACCCATTACCCACCAACCTCCCCTCTAGTAATCCTCAGGTCTCTACAGTTAAGAGTCTGTTTTCTGGTTTGCTTCTCTCTCTCTCTCTCTCTTTTTCTTTCCTCTGCTTACTCTGTGCTTAGTTTGCTCTTCTTTCTCAGGATTCTGAAGGTAGAAGCTGAGATGATCGATTTGAGACCTTTTTTTCTTTTCTAATATAGTCATTTAGTGCTATAAATTTCCCTCTGAGTAATGCTTTAGCTATATTACACAATTTTTAAAAACTAATTTATTTGAGAGAGAGTGAGCAAGTGAAAGAGAGAGACAGAGAGCACAAATAGGGAAAGGCAGAAGCAGACTCCCCACTGAGCAGGGAGCCCAATGTGGGGCTCCATCCCAGGACCCTGGGATCATGACTTGAGCCGAAGGGAGATGCTTAACTGACTGAGCCACCCAGGCACCCCTATATTTCACAATTTTTGATATGTTGTGTTTGTCATTCAAAAAAGTTAAAAATATCTTCTAATTTCATTTTTAATTTCTTCTTTGACATGGGTTATTTAGAAGTGTGTTATTTAATTTCCAGTATTTGGGAATTTTCCAGGTATCTTTCTATTACAGATCTCTAATTTAATTCCATTGTGGTCAAGGACATATGTTGTCTGATACGGATCCTTTGAGCTTTATTGACTCTTGTTTTTATGGCCCAGAATATGATCTGTCTTGGAAATGTTCCATGTATACTTGAAAACAATGTATATTTTACTGTTGTTGCATGGAATTTTCCATGAATATCAGTTAGTTCAAGTTGACTGATAATATTCTTCAAGTTTTTTTATTTCTTTTAAGATTTATTTATTTATTTATTTATTTTTAAAGATTTATTTATTTAGTTTAGAGAGGGGAGCAGGGAGAGAGTGCATGAGTTGGGGAAGAGGGAGAGAAGCAGACTCCCTACTGAGCACAGAGCCCAATGAGGAGCTCAGTCCCATGACCCCAAGATCATGACCTGAGCTGAAATCAAGAGTTGGTCACTTAACCAACTGAGCCACCCAGGAGCCCCGTTTTATTTATTTTAGAGAGAGAGAGAGAGCGCAAGAGAGTATAAATGAGGGGAGGGGCAGAGGGAGAGGGAGAGAGAATCTCAAGCAGATTTCCTGCTGAGCGCAGAGCCGGTTGTGGGGCTCAATATGACAACCCTGAGATCATGACTTGAGCCAAAATCAAGAGTCAGACATTTAACCGACTGAGCCATCCAGGTGCCCCTCTTCAAGTCTTCTATATATTTATTGTTTTTTTTTGTCTATTTATTCTATCAGTTATTGAGAGAGGGATGCTGACAACTCCAACTATAATTGTGGATTTGTCTATTTCTCTTAGAAGTTCTCTTTTTAATAGTGGACACTCTGTGTATACTAATTTGCATATGTAAGTTCAAAATCATTTGCATACATAAAGTTCAAAATCATTTTCCTCCTCCCTCAATCATTTTTTTTTCTTTTTCAAGTTTTTATTTAAATTCTAGTTAGTTAACATACAGTGTAGTATTAGTTTCAGGTGTTGAATTTAATGATTCATCACTTACATACAATACCTAGTGCTTATCACAAGTGCCTTCCTTAATACCCACCACCCATTTAACTCATCCCCCTGCCTACCTCCCCTCCAGTAACTCTCAGTATTTTCTCTATAGTTAAGAGTCTGTTTTATGGTTTGCCTTTTTTTTCCTCTCTGTGTTCATCTGTTTTGTTTCTTAAATTTCACATAAGAGTGAAGTCATACGGTATTTGTCTTTCTCTGACTATTTCACTTAGCATAATACACTCTAGCTCCAACCATGTTGTTGTCAATAGCAAGATTTCATTCTTTCTTTATGGCTGAGTAATATTCTACTGTGTGTTTGTTTATATACACATATACATACCAACTCTTTTTTTTATTATGTTATGTTAATCACCATACATTACATCATTAGTTTTTGATGTAGTGTTCCATGATTCATTGTTTGCATATAACACCCAGTGCTCCATGCAGAACATGCCCTCTTTAATACCCATCACCAGGCTAACCTATCCCCCCACCTTGCTCCCCTCTAGAACCCTCAGTTTGTTTTTCAGAGTCCATAGTCTCTCATGGTTCGTCTCCCCCTCCGATTTCCCCCGTTCATTCTTCCCCTCCTGCTATTTTCTTCTTCTTTTTTTTTTTTAACATATAATGTATTATTTGTTTCAGAGGTACAGGTCTGTGATTCAACAATCTTACACAATTCACAGTGCTCACCATAGCACATTCCCCAATGTCTATCACCCAGCCATCCCATCCCTCCCACCCCCCACCACTCCAGCAATCCTCAGTTTGTTTCCTGAGATTAAGAATTCCCCATATCAGTGAGGTCATATAATACATGTCTTTCTCTGATTTATTTCGCTTAGCATCATATCCACCAGTTCCATCCACCTCATTGCAAATGGCAAGATTTCATTCCTTTTGATGGCTGCATAATATTCCATTGTATGTATATACCACATCTTCTTTATCCATTCATCTGTCGATGGACATCTTGGCTCTTTCCACAGTTTGGCTATTGTGGACATTGCTGCTATAAACATTGGGGTGCACATACCCCTTCAGATCCCTACATTTGTATCTTTGGGGTAAACACCCAGTAATGCAATTGCTGGATCGTATGGTAGCTCTATGTTCAACTTTTTGAGGAACCTCCATACTGTTTTCCAGAGTGGCTGCACCACCTTGCATTCTCACCAACAGTGTAGGAGGGTTCCCCTTTCTCCACATCCCCACCAACATCTGTCGTTTCCTGACTTGTTAATTTTAGCCATTCTGACTGGTGTGAGATGGTATCTCATTGAGGTTTTGATTTGGATTTCCCTGATGCTGAGTGATGTTGAGCACTTTTTCATGTGTCTGTTGGCCATTTGGATGTCTTCTTTGCAGATATGTCTGTTCATGTCTTCTGCCCATTTCTTGATTGGATCATTTGTTCTTTGGGTGTTGAGTTTGACAAGTTCTTTATAGATTTTGGATACTAGCCCTTTATCTGATATGTCATTTGCAAATATCTTCTCCCATTCTGTAGGTTGTCTTTTAGTTTTGTTGATTGTTTCTTTTGCTGTGCAGAACCTTCTTATCTTGATGAAGTTCCAGTAGTTTATTTCTGCTTTTGTTTCCCTTGCTTCAGGAGATATATCTAGCAAGACGTTGCTATGGCCGAGGTCAAAGAGATTGCTGCCTGTGTTCTCCTCTAGGATTTTGATGGATTCCTGTCTCACATTTAGGTCTTTCATTCATTTTGAGTTTATCTTTGTGTATGGTGTAAGAAGGTGGCCCAGTTTCATTCTTTTGCATGTGGCTGTCTAATTTTCCCAACACCATTTGTTGAAGAGACTGTCCTTTTTCCATTGGATATTCTTTCCTGCTTTGCTGAAGCTTGGTTGACCATAGAGTTCAGAGTCCACTTCTGGGTTCTCTGTTCTGT